GGAACGCAGGGTGGCCCGTCCAGGTGCCGCGGCGGTCCCAGCCTGCAGCCCTGGCCCGGGATGCCCCAGGTCTCTGGGCGTGCGCGGAGGGCAGATCGGGGGCACCGTGGCAGGGGTCAGTGGGTGGGCTGCGGAGCCGAGCCGGGCCTGCTTGCAGGAGGGAGAGGGTGCCTGGGGCCACGGTGGGGCCATCCCGCCCTCCTCAGGCAGAGGAAGGAGGGGCCCTGAGGGTGAAGCTGCAGGCGGTTGGGAAGGTGCCGTCCTGGGAGCTGGGGAGAAGGCCGCTCTGGGGTGCCCGCTCTGGAGTGCCTCTGGACTGGCAAGCCGGTCACTCTAGACCCTCGAAGCGGGGCCTCCCTGGAGTCTGGGTGTGACATCTATGGGTTTGGCTGCAGAGAGTGCCTGCACGCCCGGCCCACGCCCCGCCTCGCCACCCCTTCCTGATGGCCCCACTTTTCGGGCAGAGGCCCCTGTGGCCGCGCCGGCTGGGGCAAGACCGGTCCTTTGGAGCCCCTGACACTGGTGAGGACACGGGGCAGGTGCTCCAAGGTGGCTCGGCAGCCACGATGCCCGGTGGGGCCGGGGGCAGCGGGTGCTGGGAGGGGCCTCACGCGCAGATGTCCACTCCAGATGACTCTTCCTCGGAGAGCGGCAGCGGCCATGGCTCCTCCACCCTGAACCCGTCCACGTCGAGCAGCACCCAGGGCGACCCCACCTACCCAGAGATGAACGGCACCGGCTCAGTGGCCCCCATGGACTTCGCCGCGGCCGAGGACCAGCCCGTCGACCTGTGTGACAAGCTCCCGCCGGGCCCGGCGCTCGGCGCACCCTCCTACCCCTCGGACGGCTGTGGCACCGACGGGCTGCGGAGCCGTGTCAAGTACGGGGTGAAGGCCACCCCTGAGGTGTGTGGGGCTGCGGCTGGCGCGACACTGTAGACACCTGGTGCCTCGCTGGAAGGCGGTGGTGGCTGTGGCTGGTGTGCCGTGGTCTCCTGCCCTGGAACGGGAGCGGGTCAGGGTGCCTCAAGCAAGGCTCCCCACCTGTGAAGTGGGGTGGACGCCCCCTGGTGTGGTGGAGGGGGCAGGGATGCGTGTCCCCATCGTCTGTCCCCTTCCACTGGAACAGGGTCAGCGCAGAGAGCGCAAGGCCTCACGTTTCCTGGCGACTCCATGCCTATCCCCACTTTACAGATGGTGCAGAAGGAGGGGGTTGGGTGGGGTGTGGCGGCAGGACTCCTGCCTTGAGAAGGGTGGTCAGAGCAGGGCCCCACCACGGGGCACCTCCTGCCTCCCGGCCCCACCCCCACCCCAGGCCACTCTGGGCCGCTGTGGCTTCCTGCAGTAGCGCCTCTTCCCTTCCTGGCTTGGGGGCCATGGCGAGGCTGTCCAGGGGCGTGTGGCTGGAGCCCAGGTGTCCTGAGAAGGCGCTTTGGCCTGTTTTCTTCAGGGGGGCGGGGGGTGCCCCCAGATGTACCAAGGGATGGTATTGCGTTGTGGCTGCACCCGCTCTGCACGGGGAGGCGCAGTGAGCGCAGGAGTGACCAGAGCAGTCTCTGCCCGGGCCCCCGGCAGGCCTAGCTATGCTTCCATGGAGGGGCGCGGATGGCTCGAGAGGGCCTTCAAACCAGTGCTGCCGTGCCGCGGGGGACATGGGGGTCCGCGAGGTGAGATGGGAGTTGGCCCGGCTGCTGCATCTGAGTTATCTGTCTGCCCTGACCCTGGCAAGGAGCAGCTTGGGAGTGTGGCTTGCCCGGGGCCACCTGGCCAGCTGGCAGCCGGCTGGGGTGTCTGGGTGCCATGTGTCCTTTCACACCTGCTCATGGATGAAGAGACAAGCACCAGGACCAGGGACCCTGCGAGAGAGGCCCGGGGGGCAGCACCATGGGGCTGGGTGTCAGGCGCTGTGTGTCTTCACGGACATGTTCCTCGTGAATGCTGAGGCCATGGCCAAACTGGGCCACTACAGGGTCTCACTGTGCAGCTGTCTGTTCCCTGGGCCTGGCGTACCACTAGAGGCCAACCCCCTTGAGGGCAGGAACCGTGTCCCCAGGCCACTATCAGTCAGCGTCCAACTGAGTGAAGTCAGGACATGCCAAAGCTGCAAACCTGCCAAAAGGCAAATGCAGGACGTGGTCCTCGAGCGCCATCCCAGAGCAGCACCTGGGGGAGGGCGGGCAGTATGGGTGCTGAGCCTTGAGGGACGACCCGAGCCATGAGGGACAGGAGGTGGGGGAGTGGGGCGGGGAGAGAGCTGCGTC